CGGGGCTCGGGCCCACAGTCCTGCCCCGTGGAGTAATCCTGCCCTCGGGGCCCAGCACCTTCTGCTTCTGGGGAACCCAGAGACTCTGAGGCAACGGGGACCAGGCCAGAGAGGGGTTAGCGTCCTGGTCACCCCGAATCTCAGCGCTAAGGGGGACCATGGGGACACTGTGAGACCGGCAAGGGTCGGATGCCCCCTGCCCAGCTCCAGGAGGGCGGCAGGCTCCCGTGGGCACAGAGGGCGGGAGGCCGGGCCTGGGGGTGGGGGGGGGGGTGGCAGGAGGGCCCGGGCCCCTCACCATCATCTTGTCGCTCTTGTTGCTGAAGCACCCGGTGGAGGACTTCTCCGTGTAGGTGTTGCGGGCGTTGTACTCCAGCTGGCGGTAGCGGGTGGGCACCTCGGCGTCCAGGCGGTACGAGAGGTTGTGGAGGACACACATGCAGTTCTCCACGGACTGGGGGCGAGAGAGCGTGGGCCTGAGCCGCGGTGGGTGCTGCCCGGGCTCGGGGCCCAAGGGGGCTGCTGCCTGTCTCCCCTTCTGGCTGCTCAGACTGGCTCTGGGAGCCTCAGTCTGCCCGGCTGTAAAATGGGGCTGAAGTCCCCTGCTCTGGGCTAATGGGAAGGTGGCACGTGGGAGGTGCCTGTCCAGGGGCCCAGCACCTAGTAGGGCAGCAGACAGAGGCGTGTGTCTACTGCTCTGGCCAACGTGCCCGGGGTCAGAAGGGCTACGGGAGCTGTCCTGACATCTGTAGGTTCAAAAGCCACCGAGCCCGGTCAATCTATGAACCAGGAGGTCTTTGGTTTGATTCCTGGTCAGGGCACACGCCTGGGTTGTGGGCTCCATTCCCAACCAGTGGGGGGCGTGCAGGAGGCAGCTGATCCATGATTGTCTGTCATCATGGATGTTTCTCTCTCTCTCTCTCTCTCTCTCTCTCCCTCTCCCTTCCTCTCTGAAATCAATTAAAAAAATAGATAGGTAGGTAGACAGATAGATATAGAAATAGATAGATAGGTATTTAGATAGATGATAGATAGATAGATAGATAGATAGATAGATAAAAAAGCAAGATGCCCACTGGGACCAGGCTGAGCAGCCCGGCACAGGTCCTGTCCGCAGGCCCTGCTATCCCTTCTGACGGTGGTGCCCCTGGGGTCGTGCCCTCACCTTGTCGTCGCAGCGGCTGGCGGCCACGCAGTTCTGGACGTAGGCCATCAGGGCGTCGATGAGCCCTGCATAGTTGCGCATAGTCTGCCGGCCAGCGTCGGCCGAGCTGAGGTTCCTGAGGGACGGAGAGGGGGTGGTGGGCGCCTGCAGGAGGCTTGGTCGGGGCGCCCAGAGAGGACAGGGGAGCGGAGGGAGGAGGGAGGACGGAAGGAGAAGCCGAGGGGCCGGCTCTGTCCGCCCACGGAGTCCACCAGCCCGATGGTCCCGTGTGTCCGTGGCTTGTGTGGCCCCGGGCACCTTGGACCAGGGGCTGGATGGAGCCCCAACTGCCCATCTCTTTCTAGGGGCGCTGGGGGGCTGGTGCTGATCTGGGACGGGAACCAGAGGTCCCTCCCTGCAGCCTGGGCATGGTCTTTCATCTCCAGCCTCTGCTCCCCGGGTGGCTGGCTGGGGGGTGGGGGGGAGCTGAGACCCAGAGCCCCTTGCCAACGGCACCCCAGCCTGTGAGGGCCCCCAGGGCTTGGGGGAGACAACCCCCTGGGAGCAGGTGTGACCCCCTTAAGGAATCCGCTCCACCACGCCCGCGCGCCCCGCCTGGCACCCACTCCCAGCTCCTGAAGCTGTGGGGAAGTGAGGCCCCGCCCCCCAGCGCCCCGAGGGGCCCGCCACACCCCGCAGAGGCCAAGAAGCGCCAACTTCATGCCAACGATGAACGTCGGGGAGGGTTTTTGCCCGCAGCCCGGAGGTGAGTCATGAGCAGCCGGGACAGACTTTTGTCTAAAAGACGGCTCTTCAAGACGGGACAAGAGGCACATTTTTCCAGGGGCCGAGGAGGGAGGGCCCGTTTGGATGGGCAGATCCAGTGTTCCCGCTCTGAGACGCCTGCCCGTGTCGGCCGGGGTCCCTCAGAGAAGGCGAGGGAAGCGGGGAGGTGGCCGAGCCCCGGAGCCGGCCCCCAGGGCCAGGGGTGGTGCGGCTGTGCCCTGGCCCAGTGAGTCTTGGCTGAGATGGAGC